CCTTATCCCATGACAGAAGACGATATTGGCGTGGCGAAATCGCCCGCGGCAATTTGGGCATGGCGATATTGGCGTGGCGATTTCGGCGCGGAGATATGGGCGTGGCGAGATGGGCGTGGCGATATGGGCGTGAGGCGTGGCGATGTGTGGGATGGCGTGCGGGTTGCGGCAGCGTTGTTACTAAAGTAAGCACTATGCATAGTTTCTGTTGAATGGTCTTCAAATACTAACGGTGTATGAACATGTCGCGATTTTGCAGGCTACAACGTTTTCTGTGCAGAATGTGCGATTTTTTTTTTTTATCAACTCCATTCGGTATTGGCAAGTAGTGGCTGAACCCTGGTACGTACGTGGAGCAGTGTTGATTATTGACCCTTGTTTTGCAGGGGTGTGTTTATCGTTTGCAGCTGCAAGGCCACTTAGAATAGACGTACCGTATTCCCCCGGATATACCACCCTAGGGTGCTATGATAACTACACAAAAAAAAGGGGGGGGGGGGGGGGGGTCTTGTCATCGGAAAAAGCTACATTGCACCCGGGTCTTTACATAATGTATATTTTTTTTATAGCGTAAAACGTTTAGTACTAAATGTACATCTGTGCCGTGGTGGTAGATTGCTGGTTGGGTGCGCAAAACCGAGGACTGGGCGAAAACATTTTGCGCGAGGGTTAGCTGCCACATTGCAAGCTCCAACAAGGCCCACTGTCAGGCCCTGATTGGACGAAATCACACCCCCTCGTCGCACGACGAGGATTCATGCAGGTGACAATGGCGGAGTCCCCGCAACAGCCTCGGTTGGCCCGCTGGGCGGGCACGTCATTGAACTGTAGATGGATTATCATTGGAAACCCTGTGCTACTTAGGCAAAAACTGCAATTATACCCGTACATAACACCCCCCCCCCCCCCCCCGGGTGCTATATAGGATGCCCCCAAAAGGGGGGGTATAGTAGAAACGAGGCCCGCTATAGCACCCCCCCCGCACAAGCCACCCGGGGGGTGCTCTATTTCGGGGGGTGGTATGTCCGGGGAAATACGGTACCACGTGAATGTTATTCGAACATAGCGTTTGCTACCTCTGTATGCGTAGGATGTCTATTTGTAACGGTCTATAAAATTATTTGTTTTCACTGTGTTTAACAAGCAAGTGTTCGTAACCTGGAATCGTAATTCAAATGCAATAAATGAGGCCAAAATTTGCTGTCTAAGCACTTGGCATATACTATGTACCTACTCTATGTTTGCTAAGGGAGGGGTTTCAGAGTAAATTTAGATTGTACACTATATCGTTACTATGTATTTATCGGAGTATGTACGATGTGGTTACCCTATTTCCACCCCCTATCGGGATTCGAAGTAAAATGTTTGTATTAGAACCTGTAAGTACATTGTAGCCGACTGTACTGTAGGTACATCGAACATCGCATGCAGCCACGGGGTGACTACAATGTAGCTCCAGCGGAATTATTTGGGATGCCCTTCCCACGGCTCCCCCGTCACCTCCACCCACTTCCCAACATCCGCACCCCCCATCTCCACATCCCCAGCGCGCCTTTGCCGGTCTGAAGTCAGAAAAGGTCTCTGGGTGGCGACTATTAGACGCTAAGGACCAGGTACGCTAGTGACATTCGCATAGGGCCAAGGCATTTCTCTACAGATGCTTGGCTGGCCTCCTGGCCTCCTGAAGCAGTGCTTCAAGAAAAGAACAGGCCCATCTCCATGCAGCGGGCTCCTTGCTGCGTTCGTGCGTTTATGCTTCACCCACCCCCATTCACTCCCTGCCTTTTCACCTCCCCGAATTCCCTCCTCTCCTCCTCCCTGCCTCCCTGCAATGCAGACGCTTCATCGCCAGATGGCCAGGCTGTCAATGGTAATGCCTCTCCTCCGCTTCGTTGTCCCATGCGACCAGGCTGTCAGTGGTGCTGCAGTGAATCGGCAAGCCCATCTACTCGCCATGCTGCTTGCATGCCTCATCCACCACCCCCATTCAACCTCACTTGCTCATTCGTGCCCTGCCCCTCCGCCGTTTTGCTCCCTTGCCTCCCTGCCATGCAGGTGCGTGGTCGCCTGGCGCCCCTATTCAGGGGAAAGCTGGCAGATCCTGGAACGGCTGAGTGCGGCAGAGAAAATCAGAAGCCGTCTTGCAGCTCAGGAAAGAGCTCCTCAAGAGCGATTTTCCCAGCTGCCCTGTGCCATTCTCAGGGACCTTGTGAGTGAGGAGGCAGCTAAGCCTGAACGCTTGAGAGCTGCAGAGAATCAGAAGCTGTCTTGCAGCAGGAAAAATGGCTCCCCAGGGCTCTAAAAGTCGTCTTGCAGCTCAGGAAAGAGCTCCTCAAGAGAGATTCCCCCTGTTGCCCCTGTGGCATCCTCAGGGGCCCCGTGAATGAGGCTGTAAAGGGCGGTTGGGAGGCTACACTGTGGGCTTGGCAGGCTGTGGTGGGAAGGTGGAGGGTCAGATGGCTCTTGGTTTGACTCAAAAGCCACTTGATGACTAGGGCTTCGAAGCTGGGGTGGAATTTCAGTTGACCCTTGAGTTGAATCAAGGGTCACTTTGGTGTTCCAGCTAGGGTGGCGTGATGGAAACGTAGTTGACTGTAGGGTTGACTCGGGATGTCCAGTGGCTGCTGGAGTGGAATCAGGAGAAACCTTTTGGGTTAATCCATGGTGGTGCTGGGATGAAGGGTCAGTAGTGGTTAGTGCATAGGAGGCTGGCAGAGAGTTGTTGGACCAGGTGGGTTGTTGGTTAACCCAGGTCGATTGTTGGTTAGTCCTAGTGGATTGTTGGTTAGTCGAGGTGACGTCTTGGTTAGCCCAGGTGAGATGTTGGTGGTGGAAGGGTGGCGAGTTTTCCTGGCTGGCTAGCTGCTGCAGTTTTGGCCGTTCCACCTCTTTTTGCATCTGCTGCTGCATCTGATGCTGCACCTGCTGCTGCACCTGCTGCTGCACCTGCTGCTGCACCTGCTGCTGCACCTGCTGCTGCACCTGTTTCTGCTGTTGCTGTTGTTGCTGTCGAGGCTGCAGCTGCATAACTGGTTGCTGCTGTTGCTGCTGCTGCTGCACCAGCTGTTGCTGCTGCTCTTGCCGCTGGTGGTTTGCTAGGCCCTGCTGCACCTTCTGCCTCTGCGGCCACACTTGCGGTTGCTGCTGCTGCTGCTTTCGCTGAGGTTTTTGCAGTTGTTGTGGTTGCTGCTCGAGTTGCTGGTCCTGCCAGTGCTGCTGTTGCTGCTGTTGCTGCTGCAGCCGTTGCTGTTGCGACCGTTGCTGCTGCTGCTGCTGCTGCTGCTGCTGCTGCTGCTGCTGCTGCTGCTGCTGCTGCTGCTGCTGCTGCTCCTCCTCCTCCTCCTCCTCCTCCTCCTCCTGCTGTTGGTGCTGAAGGTGCTGGTCCAGCTGATACTGTTGCTGTTGCGGTTGCTGTTGCTGCTGAGATTGTGATTGCTGCTGCTGACGCAGCGCCAAGAGAATCAGCTGACACGAAACCTTAAGGGCCTCATCCCCCCCCGAATCGATAATCTCCTGACACGTTGCCTCCAGCAGCGCTGACACGTCAGCGTCGCGGTCCAATGTTGACAGGTCAGCGTTGTGATCCAATGTTGACAGGTCAGCGTTGCGATCCAATGTTGACAGGTCAGCGTTACGATCCAATGCTGACAGGTCAGCGTTGCGATCCAATGTTGACAGGTCAGCGTTGCGATCCAATGTTGACAGGTCAGCGTCACGATCCAATGTTGACAGGTCAGCGTTGTAATTTGACATTGACAGCTCAGCACCACCACGTGATTTATGACCCTGTGCTTCCACTATCGGCAGACCGGCCCTGGGCCAAGGCTGTGCTTGCAGTTGGGCGTTTGACCGTACTGGCTGTGTTGACTGTGTTGACTGCATGGACTGTAATGACTGTTCTGGCAGCAGGGGCTGCGCAGGTGGAGAGGCCTGCATAGGCCAAGTTGACTGCCTTGACTGCATTGACTGCACTGATTGCCTTGACTGCGTTGACTGCATTGACTGTGCAGGCTGGAGTGGGGTTAACACTTGGACAAGCTGTGTGGGCAACTGGGCTGGCAGAGGCAGAGGCGACACCTGTGCTGCCTGTGGGGGGAGGGGAGGGTGCTGTTGCTGCAAAGGGAGGGATGGGTGTTGCTGGAGCAAGGATGGGGAGGGATGCGGCTGCAGCAAGGGTGGGGCACCTTGTTCCACGGGCATGGGTGCCTGCAGGGGTGGCACAGGCATATTCAATGGCTGCGTGGCGACAGCTGCGAATGCGAGTATCTCGTGTTCGTGTGTATTGTGAATTATGGAGGCTTGTCGACCCTGCTGGTTCTGATGATGCTGCTGTGACTGCTGGGGTTGCTCGATCTGCTGATGATGCATGTGGTGAGATGGCCGACCACTCTTAAAGCCCTCGGCTTGCAAGGGGCGGCGCTCTTGGTCTGACTGAACAGCCCCCTGCAGCAGCGACCCGTTCCGACTCCTGCTCTCCCTCCCGTCTGAACCAATCCCTCTCAACTCGTTGCTCTCCAGCGCATTTCTCTCTAAAGCGTTTCCCCCCCAAGGATGGTTCCTCTGAGAAGCACAGCTAGCAGAGCGCGCCAGGTGCCCGGCAGGAGCATGTGGTTGAGTCGACTCAAGGATCCCCAGGTCACTGGCAGGAGACTGATCCGTGACAGCCACATTCATGTAGCTGGCGCTCTGAGGTGCGTCTAGCAACTTCATTTGCGCCTCTAGCTGACTCGTCTGCTCCTCCAACTGGTTCGTCTGCTGCTCTAGAAGCTTCATATCCGCCTGTAGCTGATTCGTCTGCATCTCAAGCTGATTTGACGCCCCTGCCTGCTGCGTCTGGGCCTGCAGTGTCTGTCTCCTCTGCCGCGCCTTCTGCTTTTGCTGAATGGGGACGGCAACTGGCTGGAGGTTGAAGAGAGGCGAGTGTTCCGTGAAAACGTCGAGGTGGCTGAATAGTTTGTCCTTTCTGCTGAAGGAGTTTCCACAGGAGCAGTGCCACCGCTTTACACCGCACCGCTTCTCGTGTGTTCGCAGGTCGGCCTGAAGGGCAAAGGACTTGACCTGAAGGGATAGGGGGGGTAGAAGGGGGGAAGAAAAGGAGAGTGAGTGAGTTCCCACAGGAGCAGTGCCACCGCTTCATACTGCACCGCTTCTCGTGTGTTTGCAGGTCGGATTGAAGGGCAAAGAACTTGACCTGAGGGGAAGGGAGAGGGGAAAAGGGAGGGTTTGCCATGCATACGGAGGTGGTGGGTTTGCAGCAAGGCAAGGGTCCAGGCTACTTGCTGGGGAGAGCAGAGAAGAGGACAGAAGAGTAAAGTGAACTCAGAGGCTTGTTGCCATGCACACGGAGAGGAGAGGAGAAGAGAAGAGAGGAGAAGAGAGGAGAAGAGAGGAGAAGAGAGGAGAAGAGAGGAGAGGAGAGGAGAGGAGAGGAGAAGAGAGGAGAGGAGAGGAGAGGAGAGGAGAGACAAATGAAAGAGGTTGTTCACCTGGCATCGGGAGCAGGTGAAGGGCTTGTTGCCATTCTCGCGAAGGTGGTGGGTTTGCAGAGAGGCAAGGGACTTGAGTGGGCGGGGGAGAGGAGAGAACAGGACAGGACAGGAGAGTAAAGTGGAAGGTGGTTCACCTGACAGCGGGAGCAGGTGAAGGGCTTGGTGCCGTGCACGCGGAGGTGGTGGGTGTGCAGCGAGGAGAGAGACTTGAGTGGGCGGAAACGAAAGTGCTGCTCGTTGTGCTGGCAGCCGGGCTCGGGGCAGGAGAAGGCTGTGGGGCAGAATCTGTAAGGGTGAGGACCGAGAGGGAGGGGAGAGATGGACAAGGGAAGAGGATGAGACAAGGGAAGAGGATAAGACAAGGGAAGAGGATAAGACAAGGGAAGAGGATAAGACAATGGAAGAGGGTAAGACAACGGAGAAAATGAGGGTTGTGCTCGCTGTGCTGGCAGCCTGGCTGTGGGCAGGAGAAGGCTGTGGGGGAGGAGAAGGCTGTGGGGGAGGAGAAGGCTGTGGGGGAGGAGAAGGCTGTGGGGGAGGAGAAGGCTGTGGGGGAGGAGAAGGCTGTGGGGGAGGAGAAGGCTGTGGGGGAGGAGAAGGCTGTGGGGGAGGAGAAGGCTGTGGGGGAGGAGAAGGCTGTGGGGGAGGAGAAGGTTGTGGGGGAGGAGAAGGCTGTGGGGGAGGAGAAGGCTGTGGGGGAGGAGAAGGCTGTGGGGCAGGAGAAGGCTGTGGGGGAGGAGAAGGCTGTGGGGGAGGAGAAGGCTGTGGGGCAGGAGAAGGCTGTGGGGGAGGAGAAGGCTGTTGGAGAGGGGAAGGCTGTGGGGTAGGAGAAGGCTGTGGGGGAGGAGAAGGCTGTGGGGGAGGATCTGAGGGGGTGGTGGGAGATGAAACGGAGTGGGAGAGGGAAGAGGAGAGGAAGAAGATGAGACAAGGGAGAGGTGAGGTTGCTGCTTGCTGTGGTAGAAGCCTGGCTCGGGGCATGTGAAGGCTGTGGGGGAGGTGGAAGGAGGAGGAGAAGCAGAGGAGAGGAAGAAGAGAGAAAGGGGAGAAGTGGACAAGGGATGGAGCGCGGGTGTTGCTTGCTGTGCTGGCAGCTGGGCTATGGGCAGGCGAAGGCTGTGAGGGAAGAGCTGAAGGGGGTGGGGGCGGTGGTGGGAGGGAGGCAGGGAGGTCGGGAGGTTGGGAGGAAGAAAATGACCGAGAGAGGCGGAGCGGGAGAGCTGGTAGGCTGGAGTTTGGTAGAGACGTGGTATGGGTAACTCAGTTACCTCTAAAAAAAAGCACATGTAGGAGCAGCAGCGCAAGTAGGGGCGGGCACCTTGTAACCCAGAGATTGTCGGAGCGGGAAGGGAAGCCGGACGAGCGTCCAGGCCGGTCCGAAGCCACCTGCTTTGATCCTGCTCTGTATGGCCCTCGTGTTGCCTCCTGCTTTATTCCCACCCTCGCATCCCCTCTCGTTGCCTCCTGCTTTGCTTCTGCCCTGGGTGCCCTCGTGGTAGCCTCGTGCTGTTCGTGTGCGTGGGCTACCCCTGCTGTAGCCCAGTCAATTGCCGACAGGCTAGAATCAGAGCGAAGATTTTCCTGCATTAGCTCTTGTGCTGCTGTTGGTGCTGCCGCTGCTGCTGCTGCTGCTGCTGCTGCTGCTGCTGCTGCTGCTGCTGGTGGCGCTGCTGTTGCTACCACTGACGGCGCCTCTGCTGCTGCTGCTGCTGCTGCCGCCACTCCTCCCTGTCCCGCTCCCCCTCCCAGCGACATGCTCTCTTGAAGCGCAGCCTGTAGCTGCAGCAGCAGCTGCTCCATCTTCTTGCGTTTTCGAGGAGTCACCTCCCCCTCACGCTGCTCCCCATCACCCTGCTCCCCGTCCCAATGCTCCCCCTCGTGCTGCTTGCGCTTCTGCCCGGCTTCCCTCGCCAAGCTACCCTTTTCAGCGGGCTCTTCACTGTGAGGCCTTGTTTGGGGAGCATTGAGTCGCTTTTGAGACATCTCAAAAGCCTTTAGTCGCTCCTTGATGATCGAGTAACTTAGACCTGAGAATTGTGGCCGCGGTAGCACCTCCTTGCCTCCTTCTGCTCCCACTTGCAGTCGCCCCCTCTCCTGCAACCTATCCTGCTCCTCCCTTGCATCCCCTTCCTCCACCGCGCCTACTCCCTCTTCCTCTTCTTTGTCATCTGCCTCTCCTTTCTCCTCCTCCTCCCCTCCTCCTCCTCCTCCTCCTCCTCCTCCTCCTCCTCCTCCTCCTCCTCCTCCTCCTCCTCTTCCTCTTCCTCTTCCTCTTCCTCTTCCTCTTCCTCTTCCTCTTCCTCTTCTTCCTCTTCCTCTACCTTTTTATTCCCCATACCCTCATCATTGTCGTCGTCACCATCATCATGATCCCCCCCCTCATCCCCTCCCTCCACTTCCTCCTCTTTCTCTTCACCCCTGCTGCGTCTACCTCCCTCACTCTTCTCGCCCCTATCCTCCTCATCCCTACCTGCTTCATGTCTCCAAGCCATCAGACCCGAACCTTCCTTACTCCCTCGATTCATCAGAGCCTGGTTTGGCGAAGATTGGTTCGGCAGAATCTGGCTCGGCAGGCCCTGCCTCCGCAGAGTCGACGCAACGTGCAGGTTGGGCAGCAGAGGGAGCAGGGGAAGGAGAGCGCGGTGCTGCTGGTGGGGAGGCAGCAGGCTGGCAGCAGCCAGTGCGAGGTTCTTGATCATGCCAACTATCGCCACTGCCACCATGTCACACTGCTGCTTCTGCTGCTCCTCCCGAGCCTGCTTCTCCTGAACCTGATTCTCCCGAGCCTGCTTCCCCTGCTCCTTTCCCTGCTGCACCTTCTGCCCCTGCTGCACCTTCTGCCCCTGCTGCTCCTCCTCCTCTTCGTGCTCCTGTTGCTGCTGCTGATAACTTTTCGTGCCTTCCATTTCTCTTACATGCTGCTGCTCCTTCTCCTGCTCCTGCTGCTGCTTCTTCCCTTGATGCTGGTGTACCTGTTCTGCTTCTTTATCTTCTTCTTCCTCCTCCTCGTCCTCCTCCTCCTCCTCCTCCTCCTCCTCCTCCTCCTCCTCCTCCTCCTCCTCCTCCTCCTCCTCCTCCTCCTCCTCCTCCTCTATCTGTTTTTGCTGCTGATTCTCCTTCTCCACCCTCTCCTGCTGCTGCATGAGAAATTTGGATCAAGGTCGGCAAAAACAGAGTAGTAGATTGAGCGACTGTACTTGAGGCGTTATAAAAACAAGGGTGGAAGGAACAGGTGATAAGAAGAGGACAATGAAAGCTGGAAATTGAAAAGAGGGGCTTAGAATGCCAAGGTTGTGATTCAGGGTGACAGAGGCGATGTCAGCTTAACACTAGCCAAAGCCGCAACAACAATGGTGAGCAACAGTGAGAGGAGCAGGGGGACGGGGATTTGGTGCAAGGCCTGGCAAGGGAAGAACCCGACTAGCCTAGTACCTGTGATAGGATCCGAACAAGAGCTTGTAACGCAGATACTCTGGCCTGGAGAGCGGTGAGTGAGGAGAGGAGAGTTGCATAATGGCTTGGGAGGGTTGCACGCGTGCATGAGGGGGAGGTGGTGCTTGGCACATTGCTTGGTGTGCAGCTGTGAGTAGCAGTAGCAGGAACAGCAGCAGTAACAGGGAGTAGCAGTAGCAGTAGCAGTAGCAGTAGCAGTAGCAGTAGCAGTAGCAGTAGCAGTAGCTGTAGAAGCAGCAGCAGCAGCAGCAGCAGCAGCAGCAGCAGTAGCAGTAGCACTAGCAGCAGCATTAGTAGTGGCAGCCGTAGAAGCACTAGCTCCAGTGTTGTCCATTCGGCCTAAGTATAGCCCTTTTGTGCCAACTTGGGCCCTTGTAAGACGATGCAGCCACTCCCCTGGCCCATGATTCCCTCCCAGCGCCACCCTCGCATCGGATGCTGCTGTAGCTGTCTCTTCCGTAGCAGCGTGGGACCAGCCAGCTGTAGCAGGGGGCAAAAGGGGTCCTGCTGCTACAACCTCCTGCTTGCCGTCTCCTGCAGCATCTGTAGCACGGACTGAAGCCCTTGCTGCTGCAGCTGGTGCAGGCTTGGGAGAGGGCGGTTCGGAACCCGAACCAGCCCGGGATCGAAGCAAATCCTCAATGAGCCTGACGATGTCAGATGATGGGCCCACGGTAGATGGTAGTGCCGCAGTTGTTCTTCCCGTAAAGACTTGCGGACAACCAGCTATTAGTACCTGTCGGTCTACTCCCCAACGACAGGCATCTGTGGCATCGGCACGTGGACGACAGGCATCTGCATCGGCAACTGGACGACTGTCATCATCATGCAAGTCCGAATGGTTAACCAGGCGACTAGTGGCGGCACGTGGCCGGGGAGGCCGTGCAACTGCTGGCGATGGCTGGAGCTGCGGCGGCTGCGGCATGGTCGTCGGCGCTACCCTCCTTTCTAGTACTGACTTTTGAGACGTCTCAAAGATCGTTGCACCACTCCGTAGCAGCCTGGCTTCTACCTGTGAGGCCTGGAAGGCCTGCCGTTGAGCTGAACTCCCCGGTGGGTCACTGGGCCCTGAGGGTCCGTGGGAATGATGATGGGTTGGTGGCTGCTTTGGCATCGTGTCACCACCAGGCAGCAGCCTGCCATTCAACTGTGAGGCCCGGTAGGCCTGCCGTTGAGCTGAACTCCCCGGAGGGTCACCGGGACGACAGGGCCCCTGGGAACAGGGTAGCGGCTGCATTCTCATTGGTGCACCACCCCGCAGCAGCCTGCCTTCTACCCGTGAGGCCTGAGAAGCCTGCTGCTGGGCTGAAGGTCCCGGAGGGTCACTGGGATAGGGACCTTGGGAACCACGATAAGGTGGTGGCTGTACTCTCATTGTTGCACCACCCCACAGCAGCCTGGCCTCTATTACTGAGGCCCGGGAGGCCTGCATGCTGCCGACTGGCCGTTGAGCTGAACGCCCCAGAGGGTCACTGGGACGGGGACCTTGGGAATGAGTTGGTGGTTGCTCTCTCATCGCCGCACCACACGGCAGCAGCCTGCCGTCTACTACTGACGCCCGGAAGGCCTGCTGTTGAGCAGAACCCCCCGGAGGGTCATTGGGATTGGGATTGAGACCATCACCCAACAAACCCATGATGAAGGGGTGGTGGGTGATTTGGCAGCCCGGGTGCTGAGAGTTCCTGCTGGGGACGTGGCTGGGTGTTGTCATATCCTGGGGCAGTGCGAGAACCTGCTTTCCTGTCTGAGTCCTAGTACAGACCGCAGGGAGTGAGAGGCTTTCTTTAGTTGAAACGGCATTGCCCGCACCGGCGGTCTGCTGTGCGCACGGCCGGTTGCTCGGCCAGTCTCTCACGTGCAACCGGCGAAGAGAGGAGTCACGTGATTCATCTGCTGCGCCGCGGTAAGCATGCACGCACGTTTATATCAGTTATCTCCCATCTGGGGCCTGTACAAAGGAGTAGTAAGTACTGCTAATGATACGTCCTTAAAACAAGCACTACACAATGCGACAGTTAGGATGACCGTGTATAGGCGTGTGAGTACCAGAGTCTGGAAAATGCAGGTTGATCGACCTAGTACCTGATCCTGGGATAAGTATACTTATGGTATACTACTAGGATATACCCCAAGTTCCACCTTTCAATGGTGGACGTTGGGCGGCTCATCTCAGCCCCTATATTGAAAAGTTGTGAGATGATATAGCCAGAGTGGGCCGAGAACCGTTCTCAGCTGGTGCTTGGAAACTGGCTGGGGTGAAACCAGGGCCAATTGGAACCAAGGAAATGGAGGAACAGAAGCAGGACAGAACAGAACAGAACAGAACAGAACGGAACGGAACAGGACGGAACGGATCGGAACGGAGAACTGAGCGCCATTCTGAATGCGAGGTGTACTAGTTTCGTTTGGGAGGCTGAGGCCGGGGTTGGTGGTTGGGTGATTTCTGAAAGCCTGTGGTGCGGAATGGATGAAAGTTCTGCTGGTTGAGATATGAGATGATAGAAGCTCTATCATCATAGAATAGCTCTTCCGTTGTGAATAGAGGCGTCTGATCTGAATCCCACGCCCCTGCAGTCACTTCAGGGACAAGTGTTACAGTATCTTGTACAGTGCCCAGTTGAGGGGAAAATGTCTTGTTCTGCCACGCTAGGTTAGATCCGACATTCAGTTTTTGTCTGAGATCCAACGTGACCAATCATAGAGCGCCGACCATTTGGGGACCATCCTCCTGGCTACTCTGGTCGGCGGGGGAGGCCCACACAAGACGGAGTTGTTGGGAGGTTGTATGTAACCGCAATATACTTTGCTCTACGTGGTGGCCATTTATTGGCCGTCTCCAAGTTCGCCAAACGTTGGCGACAAGTCATCTTACCAAATCCCCCAGTTGCATTTTTTGGCACCGAGCGGAAATGAGTATCGTACAGTACTGTATGATACATGTCTCAAAATCGCCGAAACTTTTTGTGCTCCTACAAACAGTCGGTGTTGTGTACACAAGATGGTGTACAAGTATTACATTGCCAGCATCTGCAATCATCTACACCGCATATTGTAGCTGAACCACGCGCCAACTTGCACACTGAGTGCATTCTACACACGCATTTTTCCACAGGTGGTTCTTCGAGTGTATCCCACACAGGGTGCATTTGACCCATCAATTGCAGGTTTGCGTAAGATTATGCCCAGAGGAGGGTGAACAGATGTGCCACGAAGGGTGCCCCGAATAGTTGATGCTTTGACCAGAATTCAATGGGATGTTGTGATTCAGGAGGTTCGATGGGGAGGCGGACATTAAGATTTATATCATTAATACAGAAACATGTAAGATATGACGTTAGCCTCAAGCATGGAATAAGTAATCAGCATGAAAGCTCAGGAAAGAGCTCCGTAACTGAAAACGTACTCTCCACTGCATGAGCCCCCTCATTTTCCACTAATAAATGCATCAAGCTAATGTCCCCTCGTGTCTCAATCATCACATGTTCGCTGCTATTTTGCGCGAAAGACTCCGCCACCAGTGCCTCAACAGCACTCGCAGAATTTTTGTAGAGCAATCCAGCACACGGTTCAAGCATGGAACTTGCGATCGCAGGATTTTGGTGCGCATCCGTTGTGGCATCGTAACGACCTTGTGCGTTAACGTCGACTGTGTTACGGGGACCAGCATAGGGTAACTGATCACTTGCGCATGGGACAATCACAGGAGTATTCCCTGCGATGGGGGTTGCTTTGAACGGACCAGATTCCTCAGCCGGAGCAGTGCCGGTTTGCTGCACGTTGGATGGATCTGGGAGCAGCGTGCTCTGGGTAGCAAGCTCGTGGTGACTTGGAAAGACCTTCAAGTGGTTCGCAAGCTTGTCCTTTCGGCTGGCACGGCACAACAGTGGGATGAGGTGTGCAGGACACCAAGTCAACGAGAAAAAAACTAGCATGGGATACATGAGAAACATGACAAACTCACAAAAGCGGCATATCCTCGGAGGTATGATTTGAGATGATATGATATGATATGATATGATATGATATGATATGATATGATATGATATGATATGATATGATATGATACGATATGATATGATACGATACGATATGATATGATACGATACGATATGATATGATATGATATGATTTGATACGACGTGACGGAACTTGACATGATGTGACATGGCATGACATGATATGCAATGTACGGCAGAGGTACCACCGCCATACCTGAACGAGTTGCCGCAGGAGCACTGCCATCGCCGTGGTCCGCAGCGCCTCTCATGAGCCTCCAGGTCGGCCGGCAGGCAGAACGACTTGCTGCCGCACAGAGAGCACAGCAGCGCCTCACCCGCATGCGTGCGCCGGTAGTGGTTCCGCAGTGACGCCTTCGACTTGAACGCGCGGAACCCTGGGTGCTGCTCGTTGAACGGGCAGCCTGAAGCCGGGCAGCTGAAAATCTCCGACACAGCACCACCAATAGGAGGTCCGCACGGGTTTGCTCCTGTGGGTCCGGTCCCCTCCGCTGATTTCTCCTCGTCGCACCCAGCTTCCATGCCTCCCCCAGCTTCCATGCCTCCCCCAGCTTCCATGCCTCCCCCAGCTTCCATGCCTCCCCCAGCTTCCATGCCTCCCCCAGCTTCCATGCCTCCCCTAGCTTCCATGCCTCCCCCAGCTTCCATGCCTCCCCCAGCTTCCATGCCAGCCTGCAGATCAGGCTCCTCTGCAGCAACGGTAACTCCAAGGCCTGGAGACCTCACCCCACCGCACAAACTGCTTCGTTGGAGGGGTTTGGCATAGCAGATGGCTTTCGCAGCAGGCTCCGCTTCGCACGCGTTTTCGCGACCTCTCTTTCTCCCGACCACGATCGAATCCTGCGCTTCAGGAATCACGTCGCGCATTGGTGTTGCATCCAGCGCCTCTGCCCATGCCTCTTCGGCAGGCCCTTGCCGAGGCTCCCCAGGCTCGGCAACATTCGAGCTGGTTTTCAGGTCTGGAGAAATCAAGGTTGGTGCTTCCGGGGCAGCAGCAGTGTCGTTCGTAGTATCTGGAGGATTCAATGCCTCACGAGCCCCCCCCGGCTGTAGCAGGGGCTCGGCCTGCAGAACGGCCGCCTGCTCGTTGGGCGGCAGGAGCGAGACGGCCGCTACAGCCAGCTGCTGGATCATGGTCCCAACTGCTACAGCCGCCTGCTCGTAAGGCGGCGCGTCCCGAATCTTCAGCGCTGACGACGGCTGGAGGGGGAAACGTGGGGATTGCGGGGATTGGGATGTTAGGGTGTGATGTCGTGTGACGTCGCACTGACGACGACTGGAGGTGAAGGAGAAGGGTGGCTTCTACCGTCGTCCTCCGCAATCTACAGCAGATATTACCTAAAGAATCTCAATTACGGTCGGGATTTACCCGAGAGAATTAGAACCCTCTTGGCAAAAAGCTGAGCAAGAAAAAATATAAATGAACTGAATATACAAGTTTTGAGGCGCCTCAAAAATATACCTGAGCGAGCATCCCCAGCAGGGCCTGCAGATGAGACACGCGCGACTGGAGCACGGAGAGCGACAGGAGAAGCACTTGCGGCTCGATCACCGTCACCGTCGCGGCACGAGGCGCAGGCTCGATTGTCGCACGAGGCTCAATCGGCGCCGCGGCACGCACGTGAGGATCAGTCGACGCAACGGCCGGCGCATCATGCGGTCCGGTACAGAGATCGACGGTGAACCCTCCGTCGCGGCATTCGAGTGATGAGGAGGGCAGCGAGCCATGAGAGGAGGGGGAACATTCCTGACTAGTCACAGTGGTGATCATGATAACGTCGCTTTCTTGGTAACGTGGCGATTAAGTCACGGCGACGAACACGCTACTACCTCTATTATGCCTCGCTACCCACTGGGTCAAAACGAGGGCGCAGCGGAGGCCCCCAACCCTTACATATAAGCCCCCACAGGCGTTATAACCACTAATAGAGCGAAGAAACCCGCGCGACGCGAAGACACCTCGGTTCTCCGGAGGAAGAAGCTGAGAGAGGAGTAGCGAACACTGCTGCTGCTGCAGCGGCGGCGCTTCGGAGTTCAACCCTTGCCTTGCCTCTGGGACTCGGAGCAATAAGAGATCATGGGTATCCGAGGAGACAAGATGGTGATAAGCTATCAGCTCGCTTGAAACGAGTTGACCGCGTATCACGTGAGATTCCATGTCGGGGAATCTCTCGAATCTCCGACCTGTCGTGGCCGCTGTGATTGGCTGCGATTGTGGCCTGCTCTACTTGCGTGCTCCCACACGACCGCGGGAAATTAGCTGGAAGTAGCGGCGGTCGGTGCGTCGCAGAAACCCTTGCTTATCGCGAACCTGTTCCGAGCCAGAGTCGCCTGAAGACACGCTGGGAGCAGGCTTGGTGAGAAAGGAGGTATCTGCAGAAGTTGAGGGTGATGGGATATGGAACCGTTGAACCAGACTTGGTAGGGCGTGTTGTGGGAGGTGCGTGGCAAATCGCGGTTCATTTCGGTTCTCGTTGCTAAAACACAATTTCACCTGTTACTGCTTTGAAACGACGATACAGTCGATCTATCGCCCAACGGAATCGGGGGAGTTGTCCTCCGAAGGCGACACATCGAAGGCGACTGTGGTTGAGAGAGAGGGTGAGGAAATACACTCGTCAGTTTGAGGCAGTGTTGCTGGTTCGGAATCTGGTTTGGGAAGTCAAACCAAAACCAGGCGATCTGGTTCGTTCGCTGGTAGTTTGGGGGAGCTGTTCTGCCCAAACCGCGCCCCCGCGAACTGGTGGTCTGGCTCTCGCCATTTCTGCAGCACTGCAGGAATGTCACCAAAGCCGAGGCAGCGATATGAACGCGCGAAAAATACGGGCCAACCGAGGTATCGAAGGTTTTGCATACAATTGCGTAGGGTTACCATAATATTTTGCATGCCTATGATGTTGGCCCCGAAAAATACCAGTGAAACAGGTAGGGCTGTGTGGTTCGGCAGAACAAACTTCCTGGCTGGGGAAGCCACAACAAAACACGTGGTTGGTTTGGACGAGGGCGCCGCTGATGGAAGCTCACTCATCCATTTCCACCAGATAGTCCAAAAGCCACAGTTGGTTACATGTACATCAGGTTACTCATCTGTTGTCGGTGCGTGGAAATTGTGTTTCGCTGACCGAGCCTGTCGCCATCCTCACAGTTCTGGGCTGAATTCCAAATTCATTGTTGTGCTCGGAAACAGAACAGATTGCACATTACTGTACAGTTTTGGCTTCCCAAAAGCTGCAATTACAATCATTACCGTCAGGTGCTGACTGCATCACACTTTTGTGGGCTTGCAGTTGGCCTTTGGTGGCTGTCAGAGCCATGCCCCGATACAGCATAATGGAGTTTCATATTATTGTTGCCTGCAGATCCAAAGTATGATACAACATATTTCTATCCAGTATTCTGTTGGTGTTTCGAAGATGCGTTATTCGAAGACAAAAAAAAAATTCCTGCCACGTAGCAGATCCGACGTGCCACCATACAACTGCTCACCACTATTCGCAACGACCCGTTTTCCGTTCGCACAATATCGCGAACCCACTTCCCAGGCGAACCGGTTACATCACCTTTGCGAAATTTCCCGAATCCGCACCACCAGACATTTCTTTCACCCGCCGTCCTCAAATCTTTCCCTTTTTTCCGGCGATATTGTGAAGTCAACCCGTCTCATCACCAACCTCGTCGCCTACACAAGCCGCATCCGACTTGGCGCGTCTCGCCCAAAAACGTAGGCTTCACTTCGCCCAGTATAGTTTGCACGACAGTTCGCCGTTCCAACCACTCCCTCCCTTTTCCGCTCGTTCCCGCCATTTTCCGCATGGAGGCCGCCGTCGGCGGAGCGTTCTTCCGCGGCCACCCTGTGCGCCTCAACAGAGCGGGCTTTCCGCGCGATGCGCTGTTCGCAGGCCATTCCGGGAAGGTTGTAAGAGTAACCGCGTCGGCGGAGCAGCCGTCATGGCGCGCGAAGGCGGCGGCGGCGGGCGCAGGGACCGTGACGCAGGCTGTTGTGGCCGAAAGCGTGAGTCACGCCCGCTTTAGTCACACACATTCTTGAACCAGTTTTTTTAACAACCGAGCGGCATCTAATGCGGTCAAGATTATTGAAGCACTTGCATTCCCCTACATACAAGGCAAAGGGCTTGTTTTCTTTTTGTTTCTCCCCCTCCCTCACTACTTTCCCGTCGCGCTTTCATCCTTCCCCTTCCCCATGTCCCCGTTTTCACATCCAGTTGCGCTCGTCCCACCCCGTTCCGCATTCCCCGTTACGCTCACCCCTCTTTCCCCGGCCCCTTTTCCCGCATCTCCCCACTTCCCCCATTTGCCCCCCTCCCCATCCTCCGCTCCTCCGTTCCCCCATATTCCCCATCGCCCCAATCCCCAACCTCCCTCCCCCCTCAACCACCCCACCGCGCTCCTTCCCCAGCCCACTTCTGCGTTCTCCGCGTCCCCCTCTCTCTCCGCGGAACCGCAACGCGCAGCACCCGTATTTAACGGCGCCGCACCCGCAACAGCCAATGGGACCGCGCCAGCTGGCTCCGATACAGTGGCAGCCGGGCGCGCGGTGGCGATATACGACACCACGCTCAGGGACGGGTCGCAGGTGGGGGCCGAGTCGCAGGTGGGAGAGTGAATCGCATGGGTGGACGAATCGCAGGTGGGGGAGTGAATCGCAGATGAGAGAGGTGTGAGGATAGGTGGGCATGGTTGGGCATGGTTGGGCATGGGTGGGTATGGGTGGGCAATGGTGGGCATGGTGGGCATGGGTGGAAGGCTGGGCATGGAGGGCGAGGGTGGAGGGCAGGAATGGGCGGTGGCAGGTCCTTTCCTTCCCTCTCTGCTGCTTCTCTCTCCCTTGACTGCCCTCCGTCCCCATCCCCATCCCCATCCCCATTTCTCGGCCATACCACTTCCCCAGCACTGTCCCTCTCTACTCTCACTCTCACACTCCGATTTCCCCGTCCGTCCCGGCCAATCAGATGGTGGGAATCACCCTCTCAGTGGCGGACAAATTGCGTATAGCGGAGCTCTTAGAGGATCTCGGGGTTGACTATATCGAAGCAGGCTGGCCGGGATCCAATCCCAAGGACGCTGAGTTCTTCCAGCGCTGGAAAGCCCGGGAGGCGGCACGGGAGGGGATTGACAGGTTGACTGCAGCGGGAGGTGACAGTAACGAGGGGGAGAGGAGGCGGACGAAGCTGGCCGCGTTTGGAGCGACTCGTTATAAGAACACGACGTGCGAGAAGGACGCGAATGTTCAGGCGCTGGTGGAGAGTGGGGCGCCCGTGATCACCCTCGTGGCCAAGGTACGGTGGTGTGGTGTGACTGTAACAAGGGACCAAGGGCCAAGGCACGGTGGTTTTTGAGACGTCTCAAAAACAACCTCATCACACAAGGCACGGTGGCCACGATAGAAGGCACAATGCGCTACTTGCCTGCTCTGCTCTCTCATCTCCCTCCTCCCCTGCCCTTTTGCTGCCTCCTTCCCTCCTGTCTTAGGCGTGGGACGCCCAAGTGCTGAAAGTGCTGGAAGCAATGCTAGAGGAGAACCTGGCGATGATTGAATGCACAGTTTCTCGTTACATCACAGGTTTACATACCCCTGGAAGCAACGCACAGTGCAGTGCAGTACTTGCCGGCCAGGGGCCTCTGCCTTTCTCCCCCCCCCCCCCCCTATCCCCTTTATCACACTCTTATCATCCCCTCTGCCACCCTGTCTAACCCCCCCCCTGCCACCAGGCGTGGGACGCCCAGGTGCTGAAATTGCTGGAGGCGACACTAGAGAGGAATCTGGCGATGATAGAGGACATGGTGCGCTTGTCCCCCCTCCCCACGAACCCCATTCCCACCAGGCGTGGGACGCCCAGGTGCTCAAGGTGTTGGAGGTAACCCTGGAGGAGAACTTGGCGATGATAGACGACACGGTGCGCTATTTCACGGCCATGGACCTGTTTTCTCCCATCCCCCTATCACCCTCTTTGCATCGCCAGGCGTGGGACGCTCAGGTGTTGAAGGTGCTGGAGGCGACATTGGAGGAGAATCTGGCGATGATAGACGACACAGTGCGCTACTTCACGGCCATGGGCCGTCACGTCATGCTGGACGCAGAGCATTTCTACGACGGCTTCTCCGCCAACCCGTGAGCCCGCACTCGCCTCTTCCCCCTCCCCAACCCCCTATCTTGGAATTCTCAGAAGTCACTTTCTCTTTGTTGACCTCCTCACTAGTGTCACCTTCTCTTTTGTCCCTTTCGCCCTCCCTGGTCTCGTTCAAGCCAGTCCTCTCTTTCAGCCCCTGCTCTCCTACTTCCTTGCCCTCTCCCCCCACTCTTGCTGTCATGCCCCCATGCCCCTTGCCCTCTTCTCCCCCCTTGGCAGCGAGTATTCGATGCAGTGTGTGCGGGCGGCAGCAAGGGCGGGTGCGAAGGAGATTGTGCTGTGTGACACTAACGGGGGCTCCATGCCATGGCGCGTGCATGTGAGTCTTGCCTCATAGCATGCCATGCCATGCCACATGCATGCAATGCCACATGCCATGCCATGCCATGCCATGCCATGCCATGGCGCGTGGCACACAGCATGTCATGTGTCCATCCTATCACCTCTTCAAGACTTGTAACCTCACATTACCACGACTTTTTAGGTGCCTCAAAAGGTGTCATGTGTCCATCCTATCAGCTCTTCAAGACTTCTAACCTCACATTACCACCACTTTTAGGTGCCTCAAAAGGTGTCATGTGTGTCTTACCACTTTCCGCTCCGCATTCCCCTTCTTCCATATCCCCTTCAGGAAGTGACCCGTTTTGTGGTTGAAGAACTAGCACGGGGAGCAGTGGAGGGCGAGTGGGGGAGTGATGCGGGCGTGGGAGTGCACTGCCACAACGACTGTGGCATGGCTGTGGTTAACAGTGTGGAGGCCGTGAGGGCAGGCAGGGATAAGGACTGTGGCACGTTGCTTTAATACGTCTCAGATTCACCCTCCTGCACCCCTTTCCCTCCCCTCCCCTTCCATACCCGCTATAGGAGGTCACCCGTCTAGTAGTAGAAGAACTAGCAAGAGGGGCAGTGGAGGGCGAGTGGGGGAGTGATGCGGGCGTGGGAGTGCACTGCCACAACGACTGTGGCATGGCCGTGGCTAACAGTGTTGAGGCCGTGCGGGCCGGGGCGAGAGTGGTGCAGGGGTGTATCAATGGGTACGGGGAGCGCACCGGCAACGCTGATATCGTGAGTCCTAAGGATCATCAAGGCGGGCGTTGATGTGAATGGTTGGGTGCAGGTTTTCTGGGTGCTGTTTGTTCACATGTGCTGTTTGTTCACATGTGCTGTTTGTTCACATGTGCTGTTTGTTCACATGTGCTGTTTGTTCACATGTGTGTGTTTCTCGCTGTCACTGCAGTTTTTCCCCTTCCCTCCCCCCCTCCCTCCCTCCCTCCCTCCCTCCCTCCCAGGTCACCGCTATCGGCATCCTGCAGGTGAAGCTGGGGTGCGAGTGCCTGCCTCGGGATTCGCTCGCCCGGCTGGCGGAGATCTCCGCGGAGATTGCGCGGGTGGCGGGCCAGCCGCCCAACCCCGCCCAGCCGTTTGTGGGCGCCAACGCGTTCGCCCACAAGGGGGGGATCCACGTTGCTGCTCTCAGAAAGGTGCGCGTTGTGGGTGAGGTGGTTGCTTGGGTAGGGCACATGTCAGCCCCGCACGGCCGTTTGCGGTCGCCAACCAACGCGTTCGCCCACAAGGGGGGGATCCACGTTGCTGCTCTCAGAAAGGTGCGTTGTGGGTGAGGTGGTTGCTTGGGTAGGGCACATGTCAGCCCCGCACGGCCGTTTGTGGTCGCCAACCAACGCGTTCGCCCACAAGGGGGGGATCCACGTTGCTGCTCTCAGAAAGGTGCGCGTTGTGGGTGAGGTGGTTGCTTGGGTAGGGCACATGTCAGCCCCGCACGGCCGTTTGTGGTCGCCAACCAACGCGTTCGCCCACAAGGGGGGGATCCACGTTGCTGCTCTCAGAAAGGTGCGTTGTGGGTGAGGTGGTTGCTTGGGTAGGGCACATGTCAGCCCCGCACGGCCGTTTGTGGTCGCCAACCAACGCGTTCGCCCACAAGGGGGGGATCCACGTTGCTGCTCTCAGAAAGGTACGATGCGTGGCTGGCAGCGCTGGGGCTGTTGCTTGGGGGCCAGTATGTGGGTGTTCAGCGCTGCCAGCCGTTTGTGGGCGCCAAGCCAACTCGTCCGCCCACAAGGGAGGGATGCACGTGGCTGCTCTCAGAAAAGTGAGTTTCTGTTTCCACTCGCCACGGTGGGTCAGCTTGTAGCTTGCAGGCTGTAGCGACTGTGAGAACAACCACTGCGGCCCGTGCCCTGCGGATATACCCTTGGCAATAAGCCATCCGCCATGTAGACTGGATGAGCTGCAGTCGGGAAGTCACTTTTAGCAAAAGAAAAACAGTAGTACTAATCTGTATGTTGTACCCTGCTAAGTGCCAAGAAAATCAAGAAAACCGAACTCTCGATTCCACTAAAGAGATTAAAACGCAAACATGTTTCGGCTGACTGGGACAGGCCCCACGTCAAACCTTCATCAGTGCTAAACCTTCTCCTTAGAAACTGCTGCTCGCTGGGATGTCTGAACATGTGCAGGCTGTAGCGACTGTGAGAACAACCACTGCGGCCCGTGCCCGGCGGATTTTTGAGTCGACTCAAAAATCGACTAACTACACCCGCGCCCGGCGGATATACCCTTGGCAATAAGCCATCCCTTGTGGGCGACGCCATGTGCTCTCCGACCTCTCATTTCAAGGCACACCTATTCCCCCCCCTCAACCCTCCTTCCAGATACCAGATGCCTGAGAGCTACAACCACTGCGATCCATCTCTCGCGGGCAATGCCATGCTAAGGAACATTCTTGATAAAACGGAGAGAGCGGGGCTGGACGTGGGGAGGGAGGAGGCGGGTCTGAAAGAGCAGGGCTGAGAGCTACAACCCCAACACACACTTCCCGCCCCAACCCCCCCACCAGATGCCTGAGAGCTACAGCCTACAACCACTACGACCCCTCTCTTGTCGGCGACGCCATGCGCTCGGTAGTCTCAGACCTGTCTGGCTGGGGCAACTTCCTCGAGAAGGCAGAGCGCTGCACCCTCTGACCCGCTGCACCGCACTGCACTCCTCCCTTACCCACCAGATGCCTGAGAGCTACAACCACTGCGATCCCTCTCTCGTGGGCAACGCCATGCGATCAGTGGTCTCAGATTTATCTGGGCGGGGCAACATTCTGGAGAAGGCAGAGCGGGCGGGGCTGGACCTGGGCAGGGAGGAGGCGGGGCAGGTGTTGGCGCGGATCAAGCAGATGGAGGCACGGGGGTTCGCCTTTGAGAATGCCGCTGCTTCTGTTGACATGCTGATTGTGCGGCGAGGGGCGCGCTACCAGATCCCGTGAGTTGCTTCGCCTGCTCTTGCGTCTCCTTCATCTTGCGTCTCCTTCATCTTGCGTCTCCTTCATCTTGCGTCTCCTTCATCTTGCGTCTCCTTCATCTTGCGTCTCCTTCATCTTGCGTCTCCTTCATCTTGCGTCTCCTTCATCTTGCGTCTCCTTCATCTTGCGTCTCCTTCATCTTGCGTCTCCTTCATCTTGCGTCTCCTTCATCTTGCGTCTCCTTCATCTTGCGTCTCCTTCATCTTGCGTCTCCTTCATCTTGCGTCTCCTTCATCGCTCCACCTCACCTGCTGCACTCAAGGAGGGAAGGGAAGCGAAGGCGGTGGGCAGAGATGGCTCCAGGTGTCTGCCATCTCTGCCCACCGCCTTCGCTTCCCTTCCCTCCTCTTCCCCAAAACACCCACCCCACACACCCACCAATCACCAGCTCCCACGTGCTCGAGTTGTCTGTCATCTCCACTGATCGCCTTTGCTTCCCCTAACCCCTTTGTATGAAGATCTCCTTGTATGAACACCCCTTTGTATTTCTTTTGAGACGTCTCGAAACAAATCTTCATACTCGTGGCAACACTGATCGCCTTTGCTTCCCCTAACCCCTTTTCCTACAACCTATCCCACCCATCCCATCCCACCAATCCCACCCAACACCAATCACCAGCTTCCACGTGTTGAATTCTCTGTCATCTCCACCAATCCCCTTTGCTCCCTTCCCTTCCCTTCCCTTCCCTTCCCTTCCCTTCCCTTCCCTTCCCTTCCCTTCCCTTCCCTTCCCTTCCCTTCCCTTCCCTTCCCTTCCCTTCCCTTCCCTTCCCTTCCCTTCCCTTCCCTTCCCTTCCCTTCCCTTCCCTTCCCTTCCCTTCCCTTCCCTTCCCTTCCCTTCCCTTTCCTTCCCTTCCCCATCCCAACCACCCACGCACCCACCAATCACCAGCTTCCACGTGTTGGAGTTCTCCGTCATCTCCACCAACCGCCTGGGCGTTCCACAGCCCGTGAAAGGCAGCAGCAGCAGCAGCAGTGGGGAGAGCGGGTGGGAGAGCAGCGATGCGAGCGATGAGGAAGGAGGAGGGGAGGGGAGGCAGGGGGGGAGTAGGGAGAGGAGAGAAAGGAGGAGGCGGGAGAGGGCGAGTGAGAGGGAGGAGGCGGCGGTGGTGGCCGAGAGTGAGTGGATGGAGGGCGCCAGCTGTAACAGTCAGGCCATTGTGAAGGTCCAAGTGGGCGGCATCAGCCAGGTACGGGCTTATGATTGTATTGCAGTGTTTCTCTCCCTGCTTTCTGCTCCTCTAACCCTCCCTCCCCTACTGCTGCTCCCATCCGTGAGTGAAGCGGTTCTTCACACGTCTCAAAAACCGTCTTTTGTGTCTGTCTCCTTGCCTTCCTCTTCTTACCCACCCACCCTACCCCCCCCCCCTCCCTGCCTTCCTCTTCTTACCCACCCCCCCCCCTCTCCCTGCCTTCTTACCCCTCCCTCCCTGTCTGTGCTGTGACCATCAGATGAGTGCAGCGGAGGGCAACGGACCAGTCGACGCCCTCAACCATGCCCTGCGGTGAGTGTGACTGTAACGAGTTCTGCAATGGGTGTGACTGTCATGAGCTGTGCGGTGAGTGTGACTGTAAAGAGTGCTGTGGTGGGTGTGACAGTAACGAGTTGTGTGGTGGGTGCAGTTCAGCATTCCGTGCATCTGAGCGTGATGCTGTGCCTGTGATTCAATCATTCACGTGATTCAATCATTCACGTGATTCAATCATTCTCTACCTTCACCTGTATGTTTCACCCCGCCCATAACCCCTCCATTCCGCCTGAAGCTTTTCAGGTTGGAGCTTGTAGTAGATGCGTCGGGAGAAACACTCAACCGCTCCCTGCCCTCGTTTCCCACCTCACTCCTTTGCACCACTCTCAACCGCGCAGGGCGTCGTTGGATCCCCACTTCCCCCAGCTATCCCAAGTAGAGCTGGTGGACTACCGAGTGCGCCTGCTAGAACCCACAGAGAGGCGCAGCGGCACCATGTCCACCACTCGGGTCACCATCGACTTCTGTGATAAGAGCACAGGAGCCACCTGGACCACGGTATGTTGGGGGTTGAGAGTGGCTGAGTGCGGTGGAGTGTGGTGGTAGGGTGTGGGTTAATATGAGGGGAGAGGCGCAGCGGCACCATGTGTGCAGTGCGGTGCAGCACGGTGTTGGGTGTTGTGTTGGTACGATGGGAGAGGCGCAGCGGCACCATGTCCACCACTCGCGTCACCATCGACTTATGTGATAAGAGCTTCGGGGCCACGTGGACCACGGTAGGTAGGTGGGGTGCGGTTGAGTGGTTTGGTTTTGGGTGTTTGATGGGTGCAGTGCGGTGGTGTGGTGTGGTGTGGGTACAAGGGTAGAGGCGCAGCGGCACCATGTCCACCACGCGGGCCACCACCGACTTCTGTGATAAGAGCTCAGAGGCCACGTTGACCACGGTAAGTGTGCAGTGCAGCGCGGTGCGGTGTGGTGCGGTGAGGTGTGGTGAGATGATTGGTGGGGTAAGGCAGCGGCACAATGTCCACCACTCGGGTTACCATTGTCTTCTGTGATAAGAGCACAGGAGCCACGTGGCACCATGTCCCCCACGCAGGTCCCCCTTATCTCCTCCCCTCCTCCCCCTCCCCTTCTCTCCCCTTCCCTCGCCGCTCTCCCACCAGGTGGGAGCACACTCATCCATCGTGGAGGCCAGTTTCCGCGCGCTCATAGACGGACTGGAATTCGGCATCGTCAACTGCAACGAGGTACTGACTTGTGACAAAGTACTGTAGATGCAACGTGGAGCTGAAGGTGATGAAAACAAGTACTGGACTTGGTATATTGCCATGAAAAAGGTCTCTGATTGGAGTTTGTGTGAACTTCTCTGCCTTTCTTCTGCCTCCACTGCTCCCGCCCAACGAACCTCCCTTCACCTCTGTCAGCTTCCTCCCTCCCACCCTTGTTCCCATCCCACCCCCGCCTCTCACCAGTCGGGGTGCAAAATCTGAAATGGCACGCCGTGAAGCGGCACGCCGGGAAATTTACCCTGGAAATCAACCACTGTCATGCAAGTCAGGTGCAACGGAGGCATGCATGCGAGCTTGCCAAGGCATCGTCACGAGTCATGCCAATGGGCTCTGGTCCCACAGTATGCCCCTGCGGCCTGACTCAGCCCTTCTGTTTCTCAGAGGCTTTTAGCGGAAGAATACGCCCATGCATGCTGCACATGTTGGTGTGATCTCTAAGCCGACTCAAACTGCGCCACGTGGGAGTGGAGGTATTGGGCTCGCGTGTGTGCTCACGTGAACGGGTCAAAGTATGAGGCCATCTAGCTACCGTGCGAATGAATTGCTTATACCGTAGGAACCTCAAATCAAATGCTGCAGGCACGTGTAAGGTCGCACATGCTTCTCTGAAGATCTACATGCTTCCAAGGCCCCTAGGTGGCCTTTCTTGCAGCTTCTTGCGTGTTCCCCTGTTGTATCCCCGCAAAAGGGATTGTGTTGTTGCATATTGCGTTGTTACCAATACCGTAGTTGTTTGTACCGGTTCCATGTGTGGATGAGAATGTATACCGTACTGGACCTTGGCATCCTCCTGCACTCCCTTTGGGCGATGTTCGGCTGCCACAGGGGATCGACCGAGGGATGGGGGGAGGGATCAGATTTGCAGCTAGGGTTTCTAGTTCGGGGTGGTCAGCTCGGAGTCAACCGTCGTTGACTCCAAGTCTGGAGTCCAGGCGGAAGCGGTAAGTTTGGGGGGAAAGGCGCGGACGAGCGACTCGGGAAATGGGGGCCCACGAAACTGCAGCCGCGCGAAACGAAGCTTCGCGAGCTGAACAGTTTTCCCGAATTTACTGTTGCGTTTTTTTTGGGTAGCTTGCTCTACTTCAATTCAGTGCACCATAAATTATTTGAAGGGTGTAAAGGACGATTCGACCTTATTTAATTTTAGCGAAATCATTTTGAATCTGTGTAATTAGCATTATAATTTCAATGTCCAGGTTATTTGTTTTTTAGAGTGTGGAGAAAATGTATAAACGAAAATTGTGAAAGGGGCATGGATTTTTCATTCCCCGTGGGCTGAGACCACCCACGGGAATACACTTTCCATGCCCTGAACACTAGGGCGGAGTTTTTCCGCCATGGGGGGGAATTGGGGGGAGGACGCGACGCGGGTTCAAGCCTAGCGCGGGGGCCGCGTCGCGTTTTAGGCTCACGTCCGACACTTTTTTCACAATTTTCATGTCTGACCGAAGTGTTCTGCCTGGTTCGAACAGGTCGAACCAGGAGGCTCGGCGTTCTGATGCTCCATCCCATCCCCTCCCTCCATCCCCTGTGGCAGCCGAACATCGCCTTGATAAGGCATGCATACCGTAGCTAGTTACAGGTTATCCAGATTTCTTGTGAACATGAGGAGGTGAATTTGAGGCGGCTACATGCATTATCGAAGCAGGACAGAACCTGAACCGGGGGGGGCTGCCATCTGTTGGGGTGGGGGGTCTGTGACTTGTGATGTGGGGCGGGTGTCAAGTTCAACCAGTGGCGATGTTTCAGAGGACTCTCCTGCACTCAAGTACATACATACCAAGTACCATATACGGTAGCACAACACACACAACTTCCAGGTGTGCCTCTTGGCCACGACGCTTCGGGTTAAACGCGTGAATGTTAGCGGCATGAGTATAGCATGACTTGTAAATGTGGAAGCGGAGGCAATTAGGTGAACTTCTTGACTTGTGTTGATTTGTGTTGACTAGTGTGTCTTTGGCCATCTGTTGCTGCAGTGCTGCTCTCCCTGTCAGCTGCTCTCGCTACTGCGTATCCACGGGTGACCTGCATTGAAGGGTGAAGCGTGGGGAGAAAGGTAGAGTACACATGAGGTTCATGCATGCACACAGCAAGTGATGTGTAGGGCAGGGATGTATAGGGCAGGGATGTATAGGGCAGGGATGTATAGGGCAGGGATGTATAGGGCAGGGATGTATAGGGCAGGGATGTATAGGGCAGGGATGTATAGGGCAGGGATGTATAGGGCAGGGATGTATAGGGCAGGGATGTATAGGGCAGGGATGTATAGGGCAGGGATGTATAGGGCAGGGATGTATAGGGCAGGGATGTATAGGGCAGGGATGTATAGGGCAGGGATGTATAGGGCAGGGATGTATAGGGCAGGGATGTATAGGGCAGGGATGTATAGGGCAGGGATGTATAGGGCAGGGATGTATAGGGCAGGGATGTATAGGGCAGGGATGTATAGGGCAGGGATGTATAGGGCAGGGATGTATAGGGCAGGGATGTATAGGGCAGGGATGTATAGGGCAGGGATGTATAGGGCAGGGATGTATAGGGCAGGGATGTATAGGGCAGGGATGTATAGGGCAGGGATGTATAGGGCAGGGATGTATAGGGCAGGGATGTATAGGGCAGGGATGTATAGGGCAGGGATGTATAGGGCAGGGATGTATAGGGCAGGGATGTATAGGGCAGGGATGTATAGGGCAGGGATGTATAGGGCAGGGATGTATAGGGCAGGGATGTATAGGGCAGGGATGTATAGGGCAGGGATGTATAGGGCAGGGATGTATAGGGCAGGGATGTATAGGGCAGGGATGTATAGGGCAGGGATGTATAGGGCAGGGATGTATAGGGCAGGGATGTATAGGGCAGGGATGTATAGGGCAGGGATGTATAGGGCAGGGATGTATAGGGCAGGGATGTATAGGGCAGGGATGTATAGGGCAGGGATGTATAGGGCAGGGATGTATAGGGCAGGGATGTATAGGGCAGGGATGTATAGGGCAGGGATGTATAGGGCAGGGATGTATAGGGCAGGGATGTATAGGGCAGGGATGTATAGGGCAGGGATGTATAGGGCAGGGATGTATAGGGCAGGGATGTATAGGGCAGGGATGTATAGGGCAGGGATGTATAGGGCAGGGATGTATAGGGCAGGGATGTATAGGGCAGGGATGTATAGGGCAGGGATGTATAGGGCAGGGATGTATAGGGCAGGGATGTATAGGGCAGGGATGTATAGGGCAGGGATGTATAGGGCAGGGATGTATAGGGCAGGGATGTATAGGGCAGGGATGTATAGGGCAGGGATGTATAGGGCAGGGATGTATAGGGCAGGGATGTATAGGGCAGGGATGTATAGGGCAGGGATGTATAGGGCAGGGATGTATAGGGCAGGGATGTATAGGGCAGGGATGTATAGGGCAGGGATGTATAGGGCAGGGATGTATAGGGCAGGGATGTATAGGGCAGGGATGTATAGGGCAGGGATGTATAGGGCAGGGATGTATAGGGCAGGGATGTATAGGGCAGGGATGTATAGGGCAGGGATGTATAGGGCAGGGATGTATAGGGCAGGGATGTATAGGGCAGGGATGTATAGGGCAGGGATGTATAGGGCAGGGATGTATAGGGCAGGGATGTATAGGGCAGGGATGTATAGGGCAGGGATGTATAGGGCAGGGATGTATAGGGCAGGGATGTATAGGGCAGGGATGTATAGGGCAGGGATGTATAGGGCAGGGATGTATAGGGCAGGGATGTATAGGGCAGGGATGTATAGGGCAGGGATGTATAGGGCAGGGATGTATAGGGCAGGGATGTATAGGGCAGGGATGTATAGGGCAGGGATGTATAGGGCAGGGATGTATAGGGCAGGGATGTATAGGGCAGGGATGTATAGGGCAGGGATGTATAGGGCAGGGATGTATAGGGCAGGGATGTATAGGGCAGGGATGTATAGGGCAGGGATGTATAGGGCAGGGATGTATAGGGCAGGGATGTATAGGGCAGGGATGTATAGGGCAGGGATGTATAGGGCAGGGATGTATAGGGCAGGGATGTATAGGGCAGGGATGTATAGGGCAGGGATGTATAGGGCAGGGATGTATAGGGCAGGGATGTATAGGGCAGGGATGTATAGGGCAGGGATGTATAGGGCAGGGATGTATAGGGCAGGGATGTATAGGGCAGGGATGTATAGGGCAGGGATGTATAGGGCAGGGATGTATAGGGCAGGGATGTATAGGGCAGGGATGTATAGGGCAGGGATGTATAGGGCAGGGATGTATAGGGCAGGGATGTATAGGGCAGGGATGTATAGGGCAGGGATGTATAGGGCAGGGATGTATAGGGCAGGGATGTATAGGGCAGGGATGTATAGGGCAGGGATGTATAGGGCAGGGATGTATAGGGCAGGGATGTATAGGGCAGGGATGTATAGGGCAGGGATGTATAGGGCAGGGATGTATAGGGCAGGGATGTATAGGGCAGGGATGTATAGGGCAGGGATGTATAGGGCAGGGATGTATAGGGCAGGGATGTATAGGGCAGGGATGTATAGGGCAGGGATGTATAGGGCAGGGATGTATAGGGCAGGGATGTATAGGGCAGGGATGTATAGGGCAGGGATGTATAGGGCAGGGATGTATAGGGCAGGGATGTATAGGGCAGGGATGTATAGGGCAGGGATGTATAGGGCAGGGATGTATAGGGCAGGGATGTATAGGGCAGGGATGTATAGGGCAGGGATGTATAGGGCAGGGATGTATAGGGCAGGGATGTATAGGGCAGGGATGTATAGGGCAGGGATGTATAGGGCAGGGATGTATAGGGCAGGGATGTATAGGGCAGGGATGTATAGGGCAGGGATGTATAGGGCAGGGATGTATAGGGCAGGGATGTATAGGGCAGGGATGTATAGGGCAGGGATGTATAGGGCAGGGATGTATAGGGCAGGGATGTATAGGGCAGGGATGTATAGGGCAGGGATGTATAGGGCAGGGATGTATAGGGCAGGGATGTATAGGGCAGGGATGTATAGGGCAGGGATGTATAGGGCAGGGATGTATAGGGCAGGGATGTATAGGGCAGGGATGTATAGGGCAGGGATGTATAGGGCAGGGATGTATAGGGCAGGGATGTATAGGGCAGGGATGTATAGGGCAGGGATGTATAGGGCAGGGATGTATAGGGCAGGGATGTATAGGGCAGGGATGTATAGGGCAGGGATGTATAGGGCAGGGATGTATAGGGCAGGGATGTATAGGGCAGGGATGTATAGGGCAGGGATGTATAGGGCAGGGATGTATAGGGCAGGGATGTATAGGGCAGGGATGTATAGGGCAGGGATGTATAGGGCAGGGATGTATAGGGCAGGGATGTATAGGGCAGGGATGTATAGGGCAGGGATGTATAGGGCAGGGATGTATAGGGCAGGGATGTATAGGGCAGGGATGTATAGGGCAGGGATGTATAGGGCAGGGATGTATAGGGCAGGGATGTATAGGGCAGGGATGTATAGGGCAGGGATGTATAGGGCAGGGATGTATAGGGCAGGGATGTATAGGGCAGGGATGTATAGGGCAGGGATGTATAGGGCAGGGATGTATAGGGCAGGGATGTATAGGGCAGGGATGTATAGGGCAGGGATGTATAGGGCAGGGATGTATAGGGCAGGGATGTATAGGGCAGGGATGTATAGGGCAGGGATGTATAGGGCAGGGATGTATAGGGCAGGGATGTATAGGGCAGGGATGTATAGGGCAGGGATGTATAGGGCAGGGATGTATAGGGCAGGGATGTATAGGGCAGGGATGTATAGGGCAGGGATGTATAGGGCAGGGATGTATAGGGCAGGGATGTATAGGGCAGGGATGTATAGGGCAGGGATGTATAGGGCAGGGATGTATAGGGCAGGGATGTATAGGGCAGGGATGTATAGGGCAGGGATGTATAGGGCAGGGATGTATAGGGCAGGGATGTATAGGGCAGGGATGTATAGGGCAGGGATGTATAGGGCAGGGATGTATAGGGCAGGGATGTATAGGGCAGGGATGTATAGGGCAGGGATGTATAGGGCAGGGATGTATAGGGCAGGGATGTATAGGGCAGGGATGTATAGGGCAGGGATGTATAGGGCAGGGATGTATAGGGCAGGGATGTATAGGGCAGGGATGTATAGGGCAGGGATGTATAGGGCAGGGATGTATAGGGCAGGGATGTATAGGGCAGGGATGTATAGGGCAGGGATGTATAGGGCAGGGATGTATAGGGCAGGGATGTATAGGGCAGGGATGTATAGGGCAGGGATGTATAGGGCAGGGATGTATAGGGCAGGGATGTATAGGGCAGGGATGTATAGGGCAGGGATGTATAGGGCAGGGATGTATAGGGCAGGGATGTATAGGGCAGGGATGTATAGGGCAGGGATGTATAGGGCAGGGATGTATAGGGCAGGGATGTATAGGGCAGGGATGTATAGGGCAGGGATGTATAGGGCAGGGATGTATAGGGCAGGGATGTATAGGGCAGGGATGTATAGGGCAGGGATGTATAGGGCAGGGATGTATAGGGCAGGGATGTATAGGGCAGGGATGTATAGGGCAGGGATGCATAGCGGGGCAGGGATGTATAGGGCAGGGATGTATAGGGCAGGGATGTATAGGGCAGGGATGTATAGGGCAGGGATGTATAGGGCAGGGATGTATAGGGCAGGGATGTATAGGGCAGGGATGTATAGGGCAGGGATGTATAGGGCAGGGATGTATAGGGCAGGGATGTATAGGGCAGGGATGTATAGGGCAGGGATGTATAGGGCAGGGATGTATAGGGCAGGGATGTATAGGGCAGGGATGTATAGGGCAGGGATGTATAGGGCAGGGATGTATAGGGCAGGGATGTATAGGGCAGGGATGTATAGGGCAGGGATGTATAGGGCAGGGATGTATAGGGCAGGGATGTATAGGGCAGGGATGTATAGGGCAGGGATGTATAGGGCAGGGATGTATAGGGCAGGGATGTATAGGGCAGGGATGTATAGGGCAGGGATGTATAGGGCAGGGATGTATAGGGCAGGGATGTATAGGGCAGGGATGTATAGGGCAGGGATGTATAGGGCAGGGATGTATAGGGCAGGGATGTATAGGGCAGGGATGTATAGGGCAGGGATGTATAGGGCAGGGATGTATAGGGCAGGGATGTATAGGGCAGGGATGTATAGGGCAGGGATGTATAGGGCAGGGATGTATAGGGCAGGGATGTATAGGGCAGGGATGTATAGGGCAGGGATGTATAGGGCAGGGATGTATAGGGCAGGGATGTATAGGGCAGGGATGTATAGGGCAGGGATGTATAGGGCAGGGATGTATAGGGCAGGGATGTATAGGGCAGGGATGTATAGGGCAGGGATGTATAGGGCAGGGATGTATAGGGCAGGGATGTATAGGGCAGGGATGTATAGGGCAGGGATGTATAGGGCAGGGATGTATAGGGCAGGGATGTATAGGGCAGGGATGTATAGGGCAGGGATGTATAGGGCAGGGATGTATAGGGCAGGGATGTATAGGGCAGGGATGTATAGGGCAGGGATGTATAGGGCAGGGATGTATAGGGCAGGGATGTATAGGGCAGGGATGTATAGGGCAGGGATGTATAGGGCAGGGATGTATAGGGCAGGGATGTATAGGGCAGGGATGTATAGGGCAGGGATGTATAGGGCAGGGATGTATAGGGCAGGGATGTATAGGGCAGGGATGTATAGGGCAGGGATGTATAGGGCAGGGATGTATAGGGCAGGGATGTATAGGGCAGGGATGTATAGGGCAGGGATGTATAGGGCAGGGATGTATAGGGCAGGGATGTATAGGGCAGGGATGTATAGGGCAGGGATGTATAGGGCAGGGATGCATAGGGCAGGGATGCATAGGACAGGGATGTATAGGGCAGGGATGTATAGGGCAGGGATGTATAGGGCAGGGATGTATAGGGCAGGGATGTATAGGGCAGGGATGTATAGGGCAGGGATGTATAGGGCAGGGATGTATAGGGCAGGGATGTATAGGGCAGGGATGTATAGGGCAGGGATGTATAGGGCAGGGATGTATAGGGCAGGGATGTATAGGGCAGGGATGTATAGGGCAGGGATGTATAGGGCAGGGATGTATAGGGCAGGGATGTATAGGGCAGGGATGTATAGGGCAGGGATGTATAGGGCAGGGATGTATAGGGCAGGGATGTATAGGGCAGGGATGTATAGGGCAGGGATGTATAGGGCAGGGATGTATAGGGCAGGGATGTATAGGGCAGGGATGTATAGGGCAGGGATGTATAGGGCAGGGATGTATAGGGCAGGGATGTATAGGGCAGGGATGTATAGGGCAGGGATGTATAGGGCAGGGATGTATAGGGCAGGGATGTATAGGGCAGGGATGCATAGGGCAGGGATGCGGGCTGATAACCACCAGCACTCACCAAGAACCTCCAGCAGCGTGATCCTCTTCCTTGGATTCTTATGCAGCATCCTCCTTATAAGCTCTTTACACCCCGCCGAAACACCCACCCATCCAGGCGTCGCAAACGTGACATCCCTGGTCAGAATCGCCTCCTGCAGCGACTGCCCCATAGAAGCCGACGCCCAGAAGGGCGGATGCCCGCAGATGGACACATAAGTCACCACGCCGGCGCTCCACACGTCCACTTCAGGCCCGTAAGACCCCAGGAGTAGCTCAGGAGCCATGTACTCGGGCGTTCCGAGGCAGTCCCGCATCTTCTCCCCGTCTCGGAAGAACCTTGCGATGCCGAAATCTACGAGCTTGATCCGAGGAGCCTTGGTGTCTCCTCTCTCTCCTCCTCGGCCCCCCAACAGGAGAATATTTTCGGGCTTCACGTCTCGATGCACCACGCCCCGCCGGTGGCAGTGCAGCAGCGCCTCCGCTAGCTGCCGACACACGCCGGCCGCGCACTGCTCGCTCAGCGCGCCGCCCAGCGAGATGCGGTCGAAGAGATCGCCGCCCGAGCAGAGGTCCATGAGGAGGTGCACGTGGTGGGAGTCTTCAACGGCATCGATGAGTGTGATGACTGATGGGTGCCCATGGAGTAGCTGTAGGGTTGCCACCTCGCTGCGCAGGTCACTGGCTTGGGCTGGGGTCTGGTGGGGAGAGAGGGAGGGGGAAAGGGGAGGGGAGGGAGGGAAGGCATATGTGGTAGTCATCTTTTGCAGCATCATCTATATATATGTATATATATTTGAAGGCAGAAAGAAAGTGAGAAAGTGAGAAAGAGAAGAAAAAACAAACAAGAAACACCCATTGCGATGTAGTAGCTCCGAACCAGACCCACCTTAATCTTGCGCTTGTCGATCGTCTTGCATGCCCACACGCGCCCCGTGCCCTCCTCCACACACCGCCGAATCACGCCGTACTGCCCGCTGCCCAGCTGCCGCCCCTCCACCGCGTATCTCTCACTCAGATCCTCATATGCCTGCTCCAAGATATGATCTGCCGCCCGGCTCAGCCCCCAGTGTGCGCCCTTGAGAATACCAGCAGTGGCGGCGATGTTGTTCGCAGCAATAACAGCAGTGCAACATTTGGGATCGTCAGCGACAGCAGCGGTGGGAGCAGTGGTGTTACAGGGAGCATCAGCAGCACCACAAGCGGCTGGGTGGAAGGCTGTAGGGGCAGCAGTGGTTTCCTTTTCCTCTAAAGTGCTCTTCTGGGGTGAGGGACTAGCAGGCAGTGTAACACATGTGTTGCTGCTTATGGTACTGGCCTCGGTGCATTCTTGACTGCTGCTCTGCTTCCTGCTGCTGCAGTGGCGAGCGCTTTGGCTGTCACCCTCACTGCTCGCTGCCTCCCACTCGCTCCGCCTGCTGCTGTGCGCGCTGGTAACCACACTGCTGGTAATCACACTGCTGGGAATCTCGCCGCTGCCTGCACTCTGCTCGTACTGTTCAGCCCAATCCTGCATCACACCGTCCCCTCGCTCCTCCTCTTCTCTATCCTCTCTCTTCTCCTCTTCCTCCTCTGCGTGCTGTTGCTGCACCTGCTGAGAAGATTCCGCAGGCGCCAGCGGGCGGGCTGGGGCGGCATCGGGCGGCAGCGTGTGGACTGGAGTAGCAAGTGGCTTGATCAGAAGGAGCGGTTGGGGCGGCGTGAGGCGTACGTCGTGGGCGGCTGCTTGCGCTGACAAGCCACGCGGGGACGGCAGGAGGTGGATGTTTTTGGGCAGTTTTCTGGGCAGTTTTTGAAAAAACGCGGCGAGTTTTCCGGAGGCGGATTGAAAGAAGCGGGAGCGGTGGTGCTGGTGCTTGCTGTGTGGCGGTGCTTCAGCCATGGCAGCCGGCACAGACGCCGATCTTAGGTCATGGGAAGAAACGCTGGGAGCTGCTTCACATGTTGTAGCATCAGCCGCTTGCAGCAGCAGCAGCAGCAGCAGAAGCAGTATGCATTCCTTTGTCGCCGTCCCCTTCTTCCTCCTCCTCCTCCTCCTCCTCCACTTCACCCACATGCTCCCTCTTGTCATCCCTACCCCCACGTGCTCCCGCACTCTCCAATCTTACCTCCGCCGCCTCCTCCTCTTCTGCTTCCACGTCTTCCTCCTCTTCCTCCTCCTCTTCCTCCTCCTCCTTCTCCTCTTCCTCCCCTCCCTCTTCCTCTTCCTCTTCCTCCTCTTCCACTTCAAAAAGGCTCTCGTCAAGAGGAGCAACAGACCCAGACCCGGGCAGAGCTAACTTCACCTGGGTAGGTACGGCAGCGCTTTCATTCCCACCGCCTCCGCTACAAGTTCCGCCGGAGAACGAATCGGCGGAAGCGCAAGCCGCGGAAAACTCTTCTCCCGGTGTTTCCAACACTCCGCCATCGCTCCCTTCTGTCGCAACCCGCGCGACGCTCCTCCCCGCGGTCTCCCCACCGCGCCCCTCTTCGCCCGCGGAAGGACTCAGCTTCAGCTGCAGCGGGGTGGTCGGCGACGGGTCAATCGGCGCGTGCCACGGCCGCTCCCCCTTCCCCGCCCTTTCCCCGCCCTCTCCGCTCCCCGTTCCGCCCCCGGTTCCGCCGCCTGCGCAACTGCTCCGCCCGCTTCCGCTGCCCGCTCCGCCGTGTTTAGACTCGGGGGAAGGGACGGCGGAAGATTCGTCGGAAGGGGGGAGCGGAAGCGGGGGAGAGAGCAAGGGGCGGGGAAAGGGCTGTTTGCGAGAATTCCCGCTTTCCACTCCTTCGCCATGACTTTTAGTCGGCCGATGGCGATACAAGCTTGTACTCGTTATGCGGCACGGAGAAAAGAGGTCTAAGGACATAGACGACGAGTCCAAGCAGCGCGCGCGGCGCGGCGACGGAGAAACGGACGCAGCGCCGTCAGCACCGGGAGAGGCCGCGTCGGAGGAGGCGGAGACAGCGACGGGAACAGAGACAGGTTGGGGGGGAAAAGACACGGATTGGGGCAGGGGACGAGAGGAAGGGGAGCGGGAGGTATGAGAGTGAGAGGAGGATGAAGCGGAGAAGGAGGAGAGGGGGAGCCTGGAGGAATCAGGGCAGGATGTTTCCAGCGTCGTCGGATGGAGGTCGATGCTCACGCGCTTCTTCCGTCGCACCTCCTTCGGCGAAGCGCCGCTCGGTCGCAGCTCAGCCTGCACATTCGTCGCACTCTTCATGCGACGAATCGAGCGACTGTCCTTCGGGCTCGCCAACGGTAACGTCCCGCTCGCACCGCTTGTCGGCGTCCACGGTAATCCCGCTAGATACGCCAGCTTGGCAGATCGCGACCCGCTCTCGTCGAAGCGCTCCTCGTCGCGATTTCTCACGTCGCGATCCGCGACGTCGTGTCTTGGCCTCCGTCGAGGCGCTAACGGGCCGCTTCGCGCGCGAGAGTGGGCCGACCGTCTCGACGCGAATCCCGCCGTGGATCGCGGCGCCGTTATCGCGTCGCTGGTAGGCGATGTGTTGTCGTCAGTCGAGTTAGCGACCTTAAGGCGCAGCGCAACGGGCTCTCGTTGAAGCGGGGGGGTGGCGGAGAATAACGCATTCTGTCACCGTCATCGTCAACGTTGACGGCTGATACATAACGCGCCGACCGGCTGCCTGACGGCTGCTGCTCCTCCCAGACGGCCGGACCGCGGCGCACTCCTCTCGCGGAAACCGGCTCGCCGTGAGTCGCGGGGATCGATGAGTTGGTGCTACGCGCGGCGCTACTTCGAGCGCCTCGGCTGCTGCTGCTAGGGTTCGCTTTGCTGGCACTGCGGCCTGTGACGGTATTAAGTCCACCAGTGGCCAATGGGGCGAGAGAGCGACGATTGCGGCGGTCGAGGAGAGACGACGAGGCAGTGGCAGTGGCAATAACGCCGTTGCCGCGACGACTGGTAGGTGGCTGGCTCGCGTTGTTCGAATTGTTAGTAGCAAGGCGTGTTGGTTGTGGTCCGAGTTTGTTGGACGAGGCGGCGCGACGGCCATCGCTGCGTGCGCCACCACGGCCACCGTCGCCCCCGCCGCCGCCGCCGCCGGTGCTGCTACTGGTAGCGGCGTGAGAAGCGGTGCTGCTGCAGGTGGTGCCATGAGAGCTGTAGGAGGAGTTAATATCGCGCGCTTCCATGCCAATCTAAGGCTGCTTCAATCTGAAGCTTACAGACTTAATGATTGTCAATTTAATCCTAGACAAACGTACTCCCTCCTTCGAGTATCAGTTCGCCCACTTTGGTGTAGGAGAATTGCACTAAAGGAATTCAAGGAAACCTCGTACTGATTTCCGGCTGAGAGAATCCTAGGAAAATCTTTTGTTCGTGGTGGATATCGTTGGGCTGACAGTAAGGCGGGCGCTACGAGGCACAAAACACCACCCGAACTCTATTTGAAAGTACAATGGCTGACTGTCCACAACTTCCATTACGAAGGACGATCTCATATTGTGGACCTTAGCACATCTGAAGAATTCCAGCTCGAGGCTGCGATGCAACACCGGTTCAGTAGAGTCTAGACTAGATAGACACAGAAGGTCCTGTTTCGAGGAGCACGTCCAGCTCTTCGCTTGTGTGAAATACTTCACACGGTTGGGTCCTTCACTGGACGGACACATTTGGGGTTTCAGGACAGACGGGACAAGAGTGTACAGTCTTGTATTCCTGTATGGTGGAATCAGAGATGGAGATGAAAGCAGTCCAAGAAATACAGGAACGTGCGTTGCTGTGGTTGCTTTGCTTTAGGTCAGACCAGCCCTTCAGGGAGCGAGTCTTGAGATTTCTGACTTGCTTGTCGGTCGTGGAGGAACAACGAAGGGGAGTGGAGCGGAGTGAACGATACTGTATTGTTGGTTGAGGGGCAGGCATGGTTGCCCGTTGGCGAAAGAAAAGTGGGGTGCTGGTTTCGGGTGCTGAATTTGCACGTCGAAACAGGACTTCACACAGACCATCGTCTCTCTGGACCACACATTTAAAACACGTACATATATGAATTTGTACTCAAGACTTGGCTTGGCCCCCTCTGCGGGTAGCGGTGCGTGTCAGAACAAACAGGGAAAACCAAAAACAATCCGACAACCTGGGTTGGAGCAGAGGGGTGGAAACCAGAAGGTTGATTTCGTTGAGTTTCTTCGCATAGCATCCAAGTTAATCGTTGAATTCGCACACAAACCACCTCCATTGCTCCGTTGACCGTCTTTCGGCAAATCAAATCGGCTGGTCGAGGCGACAACGCAGCGAGGTCGACGACACGTCAGTGGAGGCAATGGTCACCATTCATCACAAGACAGTTGATCCTTGTGGACGCTTGTGCACGCGCAGGGATCCACCTGATTTGATGTCACATGAAAGCATTCCTAAGTCAAGAGTACACTTCATCTCCGCCTAAGTCACCTTTATTCCGGGTATATAACCCACCGAACAAGACGATAATGCCATACTTTTAATACATTTGCTGATCCTAGCATACCCCTATGCTATACCCCGCCCTACCAAGGGCAGGGCAGGGCAGTTGAAGTTGACGCGAAGGGGTAAGGCGGCCGACGGAAAGGGCATCCCAAAAATTTTGCCCCCATACTATGTATTTATAGGTTACAAGCAATTTTCTCTATATAGCTCTATGGTATAGGAAAACTTATCAGAACATATTACGGGGGAGAAACAAATTTTGTGATGGGGTAAGGCGACCGGCGAGAAGGGGTAAGGTGGTCGACGGGAAGGGGTAAAGCGGCCGACGGGAAGGGGTAAGGCGGCCGACGGGAAGGGGTAAGGCGGCCGATGGAAAGGGGAAATGCAGTCGACGGGAAGGCTCTCACCTGGCAACGGTGAGGCATAAAGCTGGCGACATCCTGAAGTGGCCCTGCTAGTTAGCTGGTTTACTTCCGAAAGATAGGGTATCGGGATCAAATCCCCCCTGCGGCGTATTCAGCTAGTCCCCACTAAAAGGGACTACACAGGTGCTCATCTTGGAGAGGATATAACAACCTCGATACCCAGCGAGGCGTGTAAACAAATGGGTAGGCGGGTTACGACCAACAGCCCCGGTAATACCAAAGGGGGTTCCTCCTAAAACCTTTACCTTTACCTTTACCTAAAGCTGGCCACGGGAAGGGGAAATGCGGGCGAACAGAAGCGTAAATGCGAGCGAATAGAGGGGGAAATGCGTGTGATGGGAAGGGAAAATGTGCGCTACGGGAAGGGAGACAGAAGCGACTGGAATGCTAGATGCGGGCAATATGAGGGTTAAATGCAGGCGTCGGGAATCGGAACCGCGCGAGCCGGGAAGGAAAGTTGCGGGCGAAGGGGATTCTAATGCGACCTGAACGGATTTATGAGTATTTCTCCTATCGCATTTGCATTTCCTGGTTTGCATTGAGGTTGTCCGACTCTCTCGATGTTGTTTTTAGGTCGTGCTCAATGTGTGTTTGTAACAAAGTGGTTCTCTTATTGCTCGCTGTTAGTGGTATTATTTGTAGTGTAACTATGAGGACTATGGGAGGTACGTCGAGGTGTTGTTGGCTAC